GTGAACGCGGCCACGCTGGCCGTCATCGACGCCGGCATCCCCATGCAGGACTACGTGTGCGCCAGCTCGGCCGGCTTCGTGGAGGACACGGCCCTGGCCGACCTCAACTACGTGGAGGAGGCGGCCGGGGGGCCGCAGGTGGCCCTGGCCCTGCTGCCCAAGTCGGAGCAGATCGCGCTGCTGGAGATGAACGCGCGGCTCCACGAAGACCACCTGGAGTGCGTCCTGGACGCTGCCACCGCGGCCTGCCGGGCCGTGCACGCGGTGCTGGACCAGGTGGTGCGCGACCACGTGCGGGAAGTCGCCACGCTGCTGGGGGAGTGAGCACCCCGGGGAGGAGGGGGGGGCACTGACCTGCCTCCAGGCCTGCGGGGGTTGACTGCTGCCTCCTGGTCACGGGCCCTTCCCTCACCCCGGGGGCACTGGGCCAGCGCTGGGATGTGTCCCCTTGCCACGTGGAGACGGACCCTAGTGCCCCTCGCTGGGCGACGGGCGCCGCCGTGCCCTCTGGCACAGCCTGCGTTTTGGGCCTTGGCGGGAGGTGCCTGCCTGCAGGGCCTGCACGCTGGGCAGGCTTGTGCGGGCCGTGCCGGGAGCCCAGGCCAGTCCCCTGGTACGAGCGGGTGTTGCTTTGGACAAGAGCAGCTCTGAATAAAGTGTTATTTTGGTGCAACTCGTGGCTGTTTCTCCTTTCCTGTGGGTGGCGGGGAAGGCTGGGGGGCTGCAGGGAAATGGGGTCACCCAGCCCGGGTGCTGCTGGTCCCTCTCGATCCGGCCTCGTTGTGCACGGCCTGGGCTGAGTGGGCACCCGCTGCGCCCGCCTGGGCCAGCCGGGCCGTGCCTGGGGGGTCTAGCATCACTCCTGAACCTGTCCCTAGAGCTGTGCTGCCTGCCCAGCGTGCAAGTGCAAGCCTCCCTGGCCTGGGGGGCGTGGGGCTCTGAGGGTCCTGTGCAAGGCTGGGCTGGGGTCGCGGGGGGAGGCCCCGCAGTGCCCTGGGCGCGGGGAATGGGCGTGCATGACGTCCTCCGGCCCGCGCAGCTCCCCCTACAGGTGCGTGCGGGCCCCT